CTGGGCCTGCATGGTGGGGAGATTCGGGTAGGAGAGCAGGGATCTTCAACCTGCATAAACCAAGCACAACCTGCTTGGCTTTGTGCTCTGCAGGAATGAAAGAGTTCGAACATGATCCCAGCTCCATAAGCTCTCACCCTCCTGGGGGGAAGCAACTTAAAGGCCTTTACAGCAATGTTCCTGCTTCCCTTTAAAGAGATGCCTGGCTTCTGCTGGACCGTTGCTGAGATGGACAGCCTTTCCTCTCTGGCAGACAGCAAGTTCTTCCTTATAGCTACTAAGTATCACCCATTGATCCTAGTTCCACTCGCAGGATCAACCTGGGACTAGCAAACTGTGCTTGAATTTTCTAACAATCTACAGACCAGTGGAGGATATGGGCACTAGTATTGTGCCTGACCCTTCAGAAGACTGATTCGACCTGGGATGACAACAATTTGCCCTCCGAGCCTCCATACAGCTTTGGGCACCTTGACCCAAGAAATATCTTATATCATTAATTTTCCATGGGGGAGATGGGGGCATGGTAGGCACTGAGAGTTTGTTGAACCATCATATGAGAGGTCCACCGATTTGTACTTGCAAGCTCGAAGGCGCTGAAGTACGTGTATTTCAGTTTTGCAATTGTAGCAGGTTACATCACATCCCCCTCCGCCCCCCAAATCTAAGGATCTAACTCATCAGTGATCCATAAGTTACATTAATTACACTGAGCTCCAGACTTTCATACCAATACCTTTCTGTTCAACACTCTAAGGTCCCCAGACCCTCATTCTCTGAACATTCCAACCAGGGATCAGGGTTCAATTCTCACCACCCAAAGCAACTCTCAGATCCAGAAGGATGTTCCAGTAGCTCTTCCCTATGGACCCTCTGCCATCCTGAGTCCTCCCACATCCCTTGTATCAGCTCCAATGGGCATCTCCAACCTCTTAGATAACTAGGATGCCAGGCCTGGGGTCTAACATTGTGGGTGTGCTGACTGCTCGTCTTGGGGACCTAACATTCATGGGTGGCTTTCAGAGGGTGAATGTGGCCCCTCTGATGACCTTTTCCTGCCTCTTCTGGAGGTAGGTAGGAGTGACGCAGAGATGACCTTGGTCTCTATAAGACAGTTGTATAGCCAGCCAATGCCATGCATAAGTCTCTCTGGTTATTAATGAGCCAGAAGAGAATCTGCTCATATGAGCAAATATGACTTAGACATCTCTGCTGTGCTTCTCAGGATCATGTCCCTGACTCTGAAATGTGTGCCAGCGGAGACTAGAGCCCCTCCATTCTCTGCTACTGACTTCTCTCCCTGTTGTTCAGACAGTGTGTGACCTCAAAGGCAGGTTTCTGGAAGGTAAGGCCAAGGCCCTGCATTTGATCACCTCTAGATAAGGATACAGGGAGAACCTCCAACATGGAGCCCTTGAATGGGAATTAGGAAAAGGCTGAATCTCAGCTGGTCTCCTCTAGTTGGACTTACTTTGCCCGCTTCCCTGTTTTATTCAGCTGTGATTTGGAGCTGGCATCATTGGCTAAGGAGCTCAGACTGGTTAGATGACGAGGCAGGCAAGTCAGGGCTTTGAGATGAAATGGCCATCATGTCTCATCTTTAGAACTGCCCTGCAGCTTGGGTCGACCATTTGTTCCTAAGTCTGTTGGCCCAATATAATCTGTTGGCATCATGGCTTAGGATCCTGTTCATTTAACCCTTGGAATCACCCATGTTTTCCATGGCATTACTTCTGCCTCATCGTGGTGCTGATGGCCTGTCTGTCCAGCCCAGGAGTGACCATTTACAGGCTAAGGGAGGGCAGCTTTCTTCATTCTGTTCTAAGGCAATGAGGTGCAGAATTATCCATCTCCTTCAATGGCTCTGGATCTGGGCTTGGCAGTGCCTCCTGGCTGCTCCTCCCTGGCCTTCACGTCTGCTGTCTGCAGCAGCCTTACTAGACTGACACCTCTGTACACACAACAGATTCACCCAGAGCTGAGGAAGCGTGGGTCCTGGTGAGGGCATACAGCAAGAGCTAGCTCAGCAACGGGGAACGGGTGTGAATAAACATGATTGGCCAGAGGGAAAATTATCATCTTTGCCCTAAGACACCGAGACTTACATAAAGCAACATCCTTGTTCTAGGTGGTTCTGGCTGGCCCTTCCCCATCCCCTGGCCTGCTGTGTCATAGAAGCGACCACTTACCCAGTGGACCATATGCATCCTTGGTTCTGAGTATTCCTTTTAGGTCCCAACTTCCTGGCCTTGCCTTCCTGTTTTCCTGTCTGTAGCTTTCCAAATCTACCTCTTCTATTGGCCGAGGCTCTTCATTTCACATCTCTTCCTATTAACTGGTTGACCCAACAATCCACTGGGCGGGGATTGAAGCTGGGCTGGGAAACCGAAGACTGAGCTCTTTCTATCACAACCCATGCCTCACCAATGGATGAACTGTACTATGGTAACAGTGCTTCCTGGTAGCACCCCCTGCAGGGAGGGTCCTGTGTGTCATAGGAACCCATAAATATTGTGGTTTAAGTAAAGTGAAGAGCCTTCCAGACCCCTCATGTGCAGTGTGTGCTCAGGTTTGCTTGCATTAGCAACCGTGTGGACTCCACCTGGACAAAGCTACCGACATCATAAACATATGCAGGTGGGGATGCTTCCTGGCTCCTCATTCATACCTTCCTCTTCTCCCAACAGGGTACATAGCTAGGAGGTGAGAACCACAAGGCCCTGCACTAAGTGAGGGCACTCCCTTTGGTATCCAGAAATGAGAAGCTGGTCCCACTTGTGGAGACGCAGAGACCACAAACAGTTTTCCTCTGCACGAAGCAAGGTGAGTCCCCCCTGTAAGTGGGGGGTGGGAAAGTACCTTGGGGGAGGCGGTGTTTGGTAAAGCTCAACTTCTTGGGCACCGGTGCCCCATCTCACCCAAGCCCTGGCCATGTGGGATCTTCGGGAGGCACCTCCACTCACCAGCCTCAGTTTCTTCTTTGTAAACTGGCCTAAGACCCGTTCACTGCCCTGCTATCTTGGGAGGTGGCTGGGTTGTGAGGAAATGAGGGACGAACGGCGGGAACCATCACTGGCCCTTGGTTATCCCACTGTGGCCCGAGTTTTTACAGTTTTCCTTCTGCCTGAAGTCACATTTTAAATCCCTACCATTTGAAAGGATAGAAGCCACTGCCATTTTTTATCTGCCAGCTGTTTTACCCCTTCCTGAGCAGAATAAATCTCAGGATTTGTGTTAGTAGCCTCAGTCCCCTCATTCTGTATGGATGAGCCGAGATCTAAGAAAGGAGCATATAACAGGGTGATTTGCTAGGCTGTAGGCTCTTTGAAGGCTGGGGGAGCGCCGGCTGGAGCCGTGGACTGGAGCCAGGCGAGGCCAGCAGAACCAGTGGGGGCTGGGGCCCGGGGACCCGCTCGAGCTCACGGGGAAGGGCCCATGAAAGGAGAAGAGTGAGTTCTTCCTGGGGCTCCTTTTTCTTCCTTTGCTTTGAGATGTTTCTTTTTGAACCTCCAAAGTGACAGCCCTTCCTTGATCAAGTCCCCGGACTTCTAGACAGCTCCTGAGCCCGTGCCACTGGAAGCAGCATCTGTGGGCTCTGGCTGGGTCACCCTGCCCCCTGGTAGAGCAGAGACCCTGTTTCTCACAGAAGCAGAAGCTCACAATCCCCTGCGTATTTTGTTCCAGCGACAAAATAATGAGCAGACAAACAGATGTGATAGTAAAGAGCACACGCTGAAGGGAGTGTTTTCACAGTGTCTGATGAAGGGGAAGAGGCCGCCTGCCCCAACACTGAGCTGAGCGCGTCACCCTGAGCTCCCTGTGGCCCATGAGGTGAAGCTGCACTGTTGGCGGAGCATTCACCCTCGACCCTGGCTCCTCTCCTGACCTCTGGATGGGCTGCCCTTCCCCCTATACTGCCCCCACCCCAGAACTTCCCACACCTCTTTGCCATTGCCCATGCTGATCTTGGCCTGGATTTCTTGCAGTGGAGACCCAGCTGGGGTGGGAGTCACCTCCTCTAGGAAGCCCTAGGCAGGCTGCCTGCTCCGTGGCTCCTGCGCTGCACCGTGGTTCAGTTTCCCCAGTGCACTCAGAGCTGCTGATTCCTCCTCTCTGGGGCTAGAGCAGCCTCCACGATGCAGCTTCCTCCATCCCAGGCAACCCCAAGGCTGTCAGGTCCTGAGCCCACGCCCCTGCGAGAGACAAGGTAGGGAGTCTCTGGTGGCAGACAGCATTGCCCGAGGGAACAGGGAATGGTTTTCACTGGCGAAGGAATGATTACAGGAGACTGGCTTTTCCTGGGGAGCCAGGAACGAGGCACTAAAATAGAGCTGAAATTCTGGGCCTCCCAGAAGAACTGGCACCAGAAAGAATTAAATTTCTATTTGTGAAGTTCTCTGCCCAGAAGTTTCTGGCCCTATTTTCCCTCCATAAAATAATTGCTTGGCTGAGAAAGGATGAAGAAAGTAAGGAAAATAAGTGTTACCGCCATTATTCGCCTTTTTGGGGCCCAGAATTTCACCGCCGAGGAAGATGCCTCGGCTTCCTCACGTAACATGGAGATAATGAAAGGGCACGCGCTCTCCCCGGGGCGGGGGTGTCCCTAAGATTGTGGGATGGCACACGGAGTGGTTCACCCGGACACACAGGAGATGCCTAGCAGATGCCGGCTCCCAGTCACTGACTCACACATCCTTGGGCAGGACCCTAGTTTCCCAGGCCTGATCCCTTCGGCCCATTTTAAACCAAAGCATAACTGGTCCACAGTGGCCTTTGTCAGGTTTCCTAGGAAGGTTATGCTGAAAGCTGGGACTCGGCTGCCCAGAAGCCAGAGGAGCGGCCTCCGTCTAGCCGTCTCTGCCTCGTCAGTGGCTGGGCCATCCCAGGTGGGACCCTTTAAGGATGTTGCCTGATGACAGGCCTGAGAGATTGGTCCTGTAGCTACACATCCAAACTTCCTTCCCAGCCCCGCTCCCTTTTTTTCACATAAGAGACTTAGATTTTACATCCCCCAAAAGAAAGTTTCTTTTAATATATGCTTTGGAAAATAATCAAATCTTATCCTGTCATCTCTCCCAAAGGGGGCGCCACCCAAGGGTCAGCAAGAGCCCTGCCTCCGGGCAGTGATCCCTTTTCACAGACAAGGAGGAGCAGCCACCATCCCTGCAGTTCCACCCCCTCCCACCGAGGACAAAAAAGCAAAGAAAACCTTTATCCAAGAGTGCTGTGGACCCAGCAGGCTGGCGTGAGTGACAGAGGGTCAAGGCCCGGGCTGGGGAGGGTACAGAATGCTGGAGGGCTAGCTCCGTGCAGGCAGGGGGGCAGGATGGGGCCCCTGCTGTGGTCTCGGGACAGCCCCAGGTCACTGAAGGAGACTGCAGAGGGCAGCAGGGCAGGGACCCCAAGAGCCCAGTCACTGCCCCCACAGCGTGGAGGCGGAGACACATCCCCTCACTCCCAAGGAGAAGCAGGCCCGGGAGGGTACAGCGAGCCTGCATCTCCCAGCACCCCCAGCTGGCTCGCCATGAGGTCCACACACTTGGAAAGCGCAGAAGCAAGAGGTCGGGGAACTGGGAAGTCCGGGGCCTTGTTGTGGGTCCGCGTCTGTGGCCGGTGGGGGTGCAGGAGAAGCCTGGGCCTTTCAGAGCCTATCTCCCAGTTCCAGGAGCCCCTCAGAAGGTGCAGGGCCCACCCCAGGCATGAGACCACCAGTCTTCTCCTTGGAGTTGGGCCAGGTGCCGCCTCTTCGCCCATCACTGCCATTCACAGAAAAGGGGGTTTGACTGCAGCAGCCTCTGGACTCCGGCAGGCTCCCCATCCCATCAGGCTAAAAGGAGCTTAAATATTCCAATGCCACCTCGTATACGAATTTATACTGTTCCTGAGAGGAGGAGAGGCAGACAGAGAGAAGGGAAGGCAGGAGAGAGAGGGAAAGGAAAGGAAAATGCATTTAGAGGTACGATTTTGGAATGAACTTTACCTACATCTGTGCTAACAGCTCAGAATTATCTGTGCAGATTCTGATTCAGTTGCTCTTGGGTGGGACTCAAGATTCGACATTTCTACCAGGCTCCCATATGCTACTGCTGGTCTACACACCAGACTTTGAGGGGGACCCACTGAGAGTAGGTTAAAGACTCACATTGTGGTCTGTCCCCATCATTGCACCAGGTCTTCTCATTGGGGGCTCTACCTGCCCAGTCTCTTTCCATCCCTTTCTCCAGTGTCCTCTTCCAATACTGTATTCATAAAATTAGCCTAAGTCAATTAGACTGGCATGGAACTGGATCCAAAACATAATCCACACTCTACAATCCAGAAGCCCTTCCCCTAAGCCTGGGTTAGTGGTACTTCCCTAAAGAACGGGCAGAGAGTAAAACAGAGTGGGGTGTATCAGGGTTAATATGTGGGCTGCCCTGCAGGAAAGAGAAGTTGGTGAGACTGGGAGCAAAGGATGTCGACTGTAGGTGCTAAGTCACTGAGTGTTTTACTATTTGATGCTGGTTTCTTCCGGCACAGGGAACTAGGGTCATGCCCTGCCTGGGGGAGAACAGTTCTCGGGACACTCACCAGGGTCTCCACCATGTTGGACTTGTTGTTCCGCAGCGTTTTCACGATGTGGAACACGTCAATGATGTTCTGCTGCTGGATCATCTCACACACGCTGCAGATGGCACAGAAGGTCCCGCTGCGGCCTCCCCCATTTCTAAACACAGAGGGAAGGGTAAGTCAGACTCCTTCCTGGGTGCCCCACCGGCATGGGGGAGTGGCTACCTTGGCCAAGGCAAGGTAAGGCACTGGCGAAAGCCCTAACCCGAGCCACGTGTCAGGGTCCGAGTGCCCCGAACCTGCTGTGACCTTGGGCAAGTCACTCCTTGTCTGAGCTCCAAGTTTCCCATTTATGTAATGGGGGGCGGGTTGGACTAGAGGACCCGGGAGAGTTCCGTTAGCTTGATGTTTCCTTGGTTCTGTGAGCAGGTTATAGTCCCATGGCACACCGACGCCAACCTTCAGGCCTCATGGTGTCTTTATTCATGTGCCTGCATCCTTGTCCAAAGGGATGCTCTGGGTCCACCCACTCATCCAGTGAAGACAGCTGAAGGTTGTGTATGATTTCCCGCCTAGTTTTCCCACCCACTAGGGACAGCCAGCCCAGGTGTTTGGGTGGGGGCCAGGCTGAGTCTGAGATGCTGTATCCTGAAGTGATAAGTCTCTATTTATACACCTGGGTAAGCAAGACCCTACAGCTCTGGAGAGTAGAGATAGAGAGCCCTTGGCAGGGCCAGCTCCCTGCCACTCCTTTCTGAGCCTCCATATGCCATCTTCATGGAGACATCTCAACTCTTTACAGAGAGTCCCTTTTGGAATCTGCCTGATTCGGAACTCCTGGGCGTGTTGCCAAGAGTAACTAATGATTTCATGTAATGGTCTGTGTCTAAGGAACATCTGGATGAAACTAAGGCACTTGATCTCCCAGATGTTTTATCTATAGGACATCCAACGACCAGATGCTTCAAGTACAGACAATTGCCCTCATTCACTAGCCAGCGCCTGCATTTCAGTGTCTGTTTTGGTGACGGTGGCTCCCAGGGGTGCCAAGGTCCCTGTTGATAGAAGGATACCCCTGCGCTTTCCTTTGGTTCAAACTGCTGGTCACCTTGGACAGGGAAGAGAGGGATAAAAACCAATCACAGGAAAGAGGAGGGAGGGACCCCCAGGAGGGAGGGTTCAGTATTTTCTGGAGCAAGAACAGCAGAGCCCAAGAGGAAGAGGCATCTCGGGCCAGTGGAGTGAGACCCTGGTGAGATGGGTGTGGCTCTGGGCTGAAGGAGAGCCACCTGAGTGTGGGGGAGGGAACTGAAGGGAGCAGGGTTAGCTGGCAGGGAATCAGCTGCCAGTTTCTGGGATGTGGGCAGAGCCAGCTCAGCCTGGCTGATGTCCCTCCAATGAGACATGCAACACCTCATGGCATCTTCCTGGACTACAGTGGGCATCCCTTGGGAAGGGGGATTGCTACAGGTGATGGCCCTTGAGCTGTGTGTGTTGAACTTCGCTTTAAGCTCTGTGACTTTTCTGACATGCGTGTGCACCTCCTTTTAGAAAGAGAATAAGCTGGTTTTGAAAAGACAATTCTGAGGTCAGTAGGTGTTATTAATGCCTCCACTAACGCCACAAATACTTATTCTGAAAAGGGGAAGTCTCTGGCCCACTCTTCCTTAACACACCTTTTTAAAGAGGGGGCCCTCTCAGTCATGTCTCCCCAATGACTTTAAGGTTCTAAGAAGCAAAGGGAATGGTTGTGAATCAAATGTTCCACACGAGCTGTCATCGCTCCCGATTTGTTTTGGGTCCGAGGTCTCTAGGATCCTTCTCTTTATACTCCTATGGTGGACTTGGACACAGGCATTTGCGTATTTGCTACCATGATATTGCAGATTTGTATGTTGGCAGATAAATTGTGTTTACTTTCTAAATATGTCACAAAGCCCCACAGAGCCTTACAATGACCTAATTCAATATACCCATTAGACAGATGAGTAAACTAAGGCTCATAAAATTAAGTGATTTCCTTGAAGATAGCTTGTCAGCCACAGTCCTCTAAGGGACCTGACCTCCACCCTGCGTGATGACATCAGAGTCTGTTTGACCCGGATCCCCTGTGCCCCAGCTATGCCTGTCCTAAGACAGGAGGTGAAGGTTCCATTTCACCTCAGTAATGGAAGTATGAACACAGCCGACCTGAGCCCACAGTGCCCTGGGAAAAGTGTTGCAGACACAGTGGATGAACCCTTTGGTCAGAGGGAGTGTGGGTGAATGGATGGCACGTTAGCCTGGAGGCCAGTGGATTCTAATCAAAGCTCCTCTCTTAACTGCCTGATGCTTCACCGCCTGTGCCTCAGTCTTCTCACTGTGACATGATAAAATCTACCTCACAGATGGAATGAGGTGACTCATTTTAACTGCCTGCATTGAGCTCACTTAACCCATCCCCCTTTCCTCCTTTTCTTCTTCAGGAAATAATAGAAGAGGGTTTAGTTGGTGGAACCCTCTTCAACCTGAGCCTCCTTGTGATTGGCAGGCCACATCCTGCTTCCTGCTGGAGGGTGGGACTTCCCTGCCTCCTGGGAGCATAGGGGTGTGGTCTGACCACACTTCATGTTTAGGGAAAGGCTACCAGGTTTTGCATCAGTAAATATGTCACATAACATTAGTTCAGGGCAACCCCAGTCCATTGAAGGGTTGAGATTCTTTGAATACACTCCCATTGGCCTTTCAGGGATGTTGAGATGTGTGCAGCCAGGCTTGCCTAGGACTAGTGTTTGTGGCCAGCATCCTCAAGGCCGTCCTATCGCCCACCACCCTGTGGCCCTGGAGATGCCTCCCTAGTACAGTACTCACAGGCAGTGGACCACGGTGCGTCCCTCCCGCCCGTCATACTGCTCCTGCCACTTCTCCAGCCGCCGGACCACTTTGAGCAGAGAGCGCTTGGAGGGGGGCGTGTCCCGGTAGGCAGGCCAGCCAATGTACTGGAGGTGCTGGACTATACGATACCCATCCTGAGGCTGAGAACAGAGAGGCTGTTAGGGCTGTTGCAGCATTGGGTGGAGGACAGACTAAATGAGGTCTCAGCCATGTCATCACGGGGAGAGTCACAGACTCTCTCTTTACTCATCTCTACACTTTTGTGCACACTGATTCTCCTGCCATGACTGCCCTGCACCCTTCTCAACCTGGAAAATTCCTACTCAGTCTTCAAAACCCAATTCAAACATTCCATTCCTCAGGAAAAGCCTGCCCTTTCCCTGAGGTTCATGTGCCAGAATATATCTCACTTTCCCACTAGATCAGTGATGGCGAACCTATGACACGCGTGTCAGAGGTGACCCGCGAACTCATTTTTTTGGTTGATTTTTCTTTGTTAAATGGCATTTAAATATATAAAATAAATATCAAAAATATAAATCTTTGTTTTACTATGGTTGCAACTATCAAAAAATTTCTATATGTGACACGGCACCAGAGTTAAGTTAGGATTTTTCAAAATGCTGACACGACGAGCTCAAAAGGTTCGCCATCACTGCACTAGATAGTGAACTCTGAGGGCAGGGGCTGAGTTCTGTTCACCCTGGGCCCCAATAAAGGCCCATGTCACTTTAGTTAGCCACCATCCATAGGTTACTAAGCTGCTCCCTTCCACCCATACTCCTCCTCCCAGCCAGTGAGTTTCCTCTTGGAAGCGGCTCTTCTTCATTTTGGTGTGGTTCCCAGGGTCTAGCTCTAGCCCAAAGCTTACCGGATCCAATCAAAGGCTGCATCTACTGCCAAAACAGCGTGACACAGTGGGAAAGTGTCTACATGGCAGCAAGTGTGTCAGGAAACAGGCAGATGGCAGGCGGGATGTCGCCCTGTGCGAACCTGTGTTGGAACCATGGCTGGAGCTGGAATCGGCAGAGGCATCGCTTCCCCAAGGACGAAATGATCCGAGAGCTCAGCCCGGACGCTCATTAGCGGCGGGTTCCTCTCCCACAGGCTCCATCTATTTGTGTGTGTGTGCGGTGGGGGAGAGGGCGGTGGGGGATGCAATGGCGGCCGCGCACTCACCCGAGCCATGTTGCAGATGCGGAATATTCTGTGGATGATGTCCTCGTCGATGTCTGCGGAGACGAACTCCACTTGGATGGGCCCGTAGCACCCGGAGGTCTTCTCAGGCCAGTACTGCATACAGAGCTGGGGGAGAGGCCACAGGAAGGGGCCGGGTGGGAGGGCGTTAGTCTCATGTATCACTAAGCCTTTCTGATCGTTGGCAGAACACACTGGCTAGAGATGCAGAGTGTCATGGAGGAAATTAGACTCCGCTTCCCTGTTGGGGAGCAGCCACCCATTTCGGGGGGTGTTGTTGAAAAGTCGAAGCTCTGAACACAGAAACACTTTGCTGTGATGATTTCACACCATTTGTTAGACTTGCTGGGCCTCACTTTCCTCATCTGTAAAATGGGGAGAATGGCATTTACCTCGAAGCGCTGCTGTCAGACTTAGGTAGAACACTCCAAGGGAAGGGCAGGTATAACCTCTAGTTTTCTTTTCACTAATGTGAACCACGGCAAACACTTCCCCATTCCAGGAAAACCTTTACAATCATTTCATGATCAGATCATGAACACTTTAGAATATATATAAGCTTTGGCATCAGACATACTTGGGTGCAAATCCAGGCTCTGCTCCTTACTAGCTGTGTGGCACAGGCCTCAGTTTTCTAATATGTAAAATGGGGATAACTATGCCTACCTTACAAAAGGTGATGTAGCATGGTGTTGAGAGGTCTTGCCTGTGATCTTTCCTATTTTTCTGGAATTGTGAATCAGATCCTACAGCTGAGAGCAAAGGCGACGGTGGCCCCACAACCTAAGACGGTGTCTCAGCCAGAGGTGGTTTTGTCACCCAGGGGACATTTGTCAATGTCTGGAGATACTGTTGATGGTCACACCTGGGGGTTTCTATGGGTATCTAGTGAGTGGAGGCCAGGATGCTGCTCAATATCCTCCAATGAGGGTATACCTTTCCCCCACCCAGGACTCTGGCCCCCAATATCAATAGTGCAGAGATTGAGAAACCATGGCCTAAGATCACAAGTGATTCCTTAGGTTTATAGTCTCATCAAGAAAGAGAGACAGACACTTCATTCTTCTCTGTTAAGCCACCAGATGACTTCAGTTGGAGAAAGAACATTGAGGTAGTTGGCAGGGGATGTGGCTCAGAGGGGCAAATGTGCTTCCTCAAATTCCTGCTTCCCAAGGATCATGGGGATGGACTCTGTCCAGGTTTATAGGTCTCAGTATTGGGCACGGAAAAGAGCCAAGTTGAGGCTGTATGCTTGTCAGGGGCCACTCCAGCATGGACCCTCCACCTGGGGGTTGCCCAGAGGATGGACAAGACCCACCGAGGCCTCTGAGGGCCACCTGGTCTGCCACAGCCTACGCCAGCTTGCAGACAGCAACCCAGTGGCCTCCTCACAGCTACTACAGATGCAGGATTTTCATGAAAGGGATCGATGTCCCTTTGTGGAGAGAGAGCAGTCACATGCAAAAGGGCATTTTCTCTATTCTTTCTCTCTCCAGAACTGGAACCAGAATGGAAAAGCCAGGAGGAGGGAGGATGAAGGAGAGAGAAAGCACACATCTCCAAACATCCTAGCTGTGCAACCCAAATTCCGGCTCAGGGATAATATTGGTCACAGGATAGGCCACACCTGGCCGGCACCGATTCTGAAGTAAAGTTTTATTGAAATACCACTGTACTTCTTTGTTTATGTATTATTGTCTGTGGTTGCTTTCGAGCTACAATGGCAGAGCTGAGCAGACCACATAGCCTGCAAAACCTAAAATATTTCCTATCTTGTCCTTCACAGAGAAAGTTGGCCGACCCCTACACTGTCAGCTTGTTCTGGGAATAAAGGAGATGGCGCATGTGAGCAAACAGGCATGGCATAAGCACCCACTGACTCCCAGCGATTCACAGTATTATTGAACCTATCAGTGCTCCACAAAAATAACAATTATGATAATGCCTCACATTTAAAGCTGAAGGATTCTTCTTATCACCTGTCTCAAATAGCAAAGACCTAACGAATGGTGGTTGCTTTCCTGGCATCTCCACTGGGGTTAACCGAGCATGTGTGTGGGTGGCTCTCACAGGGGCCCAGTGGCTGGACGGTCATCTGCTGAGCTGGGCGGTTATGACAGATCCACAATTTGACCTTCATTTCTCTTTGCCATTGGCTCTCCTGCCTTGCACCCTTCCCAGTGGTGAGGGACCAGCACTGATAAGTCTGTGACTGGCCAGAGAAATCAGAACTCATCAGAACTTCCCATTAAAAAAATAATTGCCTTTATCATCTGCACTGAATTTGGCCTTGCCAGAAGTTGACCGTGATCCCGACATCAGGTACAGGTGTCCGAGGCATCAGGGAAAGTCAGTTACCCCCAATATTTTCAGTCTGGAGAGAATGTGGAATTATTTGTCTCTTTTAATAAGATTTCCAGACCAATTTCTCAAGCTAATAGGTTCTACTATGCCTCAAACAAGACTCCTACATTTGGGACACTTCCCTGCATTTGATTTTCCAGGTCACTCTCCCGTAATGCCCAGAGGGCTGGGGAAGTGTGTGGGGTCTTAATCCTAAATCAGAGCCATCCTTTCACTTGAGTTCCCTCACTTGTGAGATGGTGGCAGCAACAGTGTGGGTGACGTGGCGTTTGAGCTGCCAAGGATCATCAGGGTCTCCCACAGCTCAGGATGCCACACATGATCTAGCCATGGGGACAGAAGGAAGGGGCGGGAGCCGAGTGTTCCCAGTGACCCTCTGGGGCTCAGAAATGATTCTCATCAACAAGAAATGTCCTCTATGGTTTAGCTCAAGGCTGTCCTGGCCTCCAGCCTCTGGGGTTGTGCCTTGGTGGGCGCGGCCTTTCTGGCCATGTAGGCGGTGTAGCAAAAGGGTTCCCTGGGTTCAAATCCCAGCCCTGCCACTTTCTAGCTGAGTGACTTGGCCAAATCATTTAGCTTCTCCGAGTTATGAGTGGCTGTGGATCTGAATGTGTCTGCTTAGCACTGGGGTCTGTAAGTAGTGAGCACTCAGTAAATGTGAGCTATAATATTAGGCAATTTGGGGGAGTGCCCCTCAAACAAGATGGATAAAGTGTTTTTTTTCTCCCACCACTTAGTAGCTCTTATGAAAATTTCTCTTTAAGATAATACCCAAAGGACTGCCCTTGTGAAAATTCCTGATCAACCAGCTTGGGGGAGCAGTGGGGACTGGACACTGTTCTGCATGTCAAAGGAGAGAGACCTGTGGAATGTTCTGGAGGGGGACCCAGGAGATGGGAGAGGGAGGTTGGGATGCAGTGGAACCAGTGAAACGAAAGTGAATCGATGTGTCATGTGACCCCCCCCCAACCTAAATATTCAGCAAATTTATAATAACATGCACAGTGCTCAATATGTATTGATTTCCTGTGGAAACCAGCGAGGAACTAAGCTTTCTCCCTGGGTGACAAAGAAACAAAGCAGAAACATGTATGTGGTCTGAGGGCCAGACCACGAGCACATGAGCATCAGCATTTTATAGAAATCTTGGGGATGGGGACCCTGGAAATGGGATTCAAAAGCCCACTTGACCCTCTAAAACAGTGGTTCTCAACCTGTGGGTCGTGAACCCTTTGGCGGTCGAACGACCCTTTCACAGGGGTCGCCTAAGACCATCCTGCGTATCAGATATTTACATTATGATTCATAACAGTAGCAACATTACAGTTATGAAGTAGCAACGAAAATAATTTTATGGTTGGGTCACAACATGAGGAACTGTATTTAAAGGGCCAGAAAGTTGAGAACCACTGCTCTAAAACCATGAGGTCCCCACTGACCTGGGGCCACACGTACATTCAGTACCACTTTGGCATTTTCTTCCTTAGATGGAAAACTGTCGAAATGGCTGTCTCCAAGAATTGATTCACATCCTTTAGAGCCGTGTTCGGCAAACCGCGGCTCTCGAGCCACATGCGGCTCTTTGGCCCCTTCAGTGTGGCTCTTCCACAAAATACCACGTGCGGGCACGCACGTACAGTGCGATTGAAACTTCATGGCCCGTGCGCAGAAGTCGGTATTTTGTGGAAGAGCCATACTCAAGGGGCCAAAGAGCCGCATGTGGCTCGCGAGCCGCAGTTTGCCAACCACTGGCCTAGAGCCTGGACCAACAGCCTTTTTCCACCTTTCACTCCAGTATCTCCCTCCTTACCCAGCAGGGAGGGTGGTGCTGCCTGTCTGAGCGCTTCCTCACTTCAGACACGCAGGCCCTGCCGAGGACCACACCTGAGGGGAGCCGGCCCAGCTCGGCTGCTGGTTAGAAACGGCCAGGCTTCCTCCAGCAACGCAGAGCAGCTCTTGTTGTTTATTGTCAGAACAAGTTAAACCAAGCGGAAGTCATGACGCCTGTGTGGATGGCCGGGAACAGCTGCCATATATTGTTCCACACGGTCTCCACGGCTGTGTGAGCCGTGCAAAGAGCAAGTTCATACGCGAACAATAACAAACACAAAGGCAGCTCCACTGTTAAACATCATCTGTTTTTCGCTGATGGAATCAGAAAGCTTGTTAGTCACTGATATAAATGTGCCCTGATGCATTGAATGGAAACCAGCATATGTCCTATTTGGGGAATAAACAACTTTAAAGCATATTTCTGTACACCTTAGTATGCCTTTTGTTAATTAAATAATACTTTGACAAAATGGAAAAGCCAAGGAATATACAACTTCAGAAATTAAAGACTTACTTGTCAAGGTCCCTGTAATCCACAGAGCAGGGTGGGTGGGGTGGGGTGGGGGGAACCAGGCCCAAGCCACCCAAGATGAAGTGAATTAGTATTTTTAAGAGAAAAACAGAAAAGACCCACCTGAACTGATTTTAAAATTCAGGTTCATGATTATAAAATTCCTTTAAATAGATTTGATAAAGAGTCCAAATCACATAATTGGTTTTAATACTGTGGCCAGTTAAGGAAGACAGATGGTGCGTGAAGCAGTGGACACAAAGCAAGGGACAGAGAGAGGCACATGGGCCATAATCAGAGAGATCCGCACACCCCTCCTCCATGCAGCCTCTCCATGGTCCGACGGGTGAACAGTACAGTCTCCATCAGGGGTGGAAACTGACTTATGACAGCTGCATCA